ATTTTGTCTTGGGATTTACCAAGGCCAAAAACAAAAACAATTAAACTTTAAAATTCCCCATAAATTATTTTCAAAACCAAACTTTTTTGAAATAAAAAAATATTAAAAAAAAGTTTAAATGAACAACGTGGCTATGACAATTGAATATACAATGTCTTCAGTATAGTTAAAATGTTGCTTTTAATACATATTTTAATACGGTAATTTTAAATGAAAAAATATTAATTCAATTTCTTAGAAACATTAAAACAACTAACAGAGTCTTTAGTTTGCAAAAGTAACTTGTTATTAAAATGCTTAAATTGTTAGTAAAAAATATCAAATTGTAATTGAAAAATCCTAATAAAGTACATTTATTGAAATTAAATTCTTAAAGATCACGAAGATTTAATTATATAACATGAAACACTTTGTACACCATGAATATATTATGAAGTGTCAAGAATTAAGTTTTTTGGTATAATTTCTTTAAAAAGATACATGCATTTATATTGTTAGTCACAGAGAAAAGCTCTATATGTCGATTCTGAATATTTGTTGATATCCACTCGACTTTGTATATAAATAGTTGTGTGTAAAGAAGGGATTCGGCTCATACAACAACGATTTGTCTGGATTTGTTCCGGCTTCTAAGAACGAATCAGGGAATAACGAATTTAGTAGCATATTCCTTATCACAAAGTGCCACCATCTCATCATCGTTTGGCTATAATTAGATTGTACTTGCCATAACCTTTGTCTCTTTTGCAAGATGGAGCAATTCTTTGCCAGCATTTTTTAATCTGTCAAAATATTCTAGCCCTTTATAGTTTGTCTTGTGGACTACATCAACTCCGTACAAAACACCATAAAGACATCCTGCAATAACACCAGTGCTATCACTGTCGCCTCCATGAAACATTGCCCGATAACATAAATCATCCCAGTTTCCTTTGCAAGCCAATAATGCATCATATGCGATCATTGGTGCATCATGACCACTTGCTCCGCCGATGTCGTCATAACTAAGCATGCGGTACATATGGTCACGTTTTTTCACTTGTTCTTCGTCAGGTAAAAAAATTGGATCGGACTGTCCGTCAGATATATTTCTCATTCGGAGGTAAAATTCCCATTTCGTTTGAAAATAATTCCAGTGATCAATATTTTGCTGTATTGTGTAACTGTCGGCATGTAAGGCTTCTCTATCGTTTGACACATATTCTTTTGCTATCTTCAGTGTTGTTAACAATCCTTTACCCCACTCTTTTAGAGGTCTGTCCTGAACAGCGTACGTTGTGAATAGAGCTGCTGCCAGCGAGCCAAGGTATCCAGTCGGGTGATGGTGAGTTAGCCTTCCTGACTCTATGCTTATTGCAACTAAATCGTTGACTTGCACATCGTGTGGAAATCTCAACCCAATACACATAGACCTCATTGCAGCACCACATCCACCACCTCTCGTATTAAAAGGAATTCTCAATCCATTAGGAGGTTTGTCGGGTTGAAGACTTCTGCACATTTCTTTACACGTAATTCCTGGTGCCCTTCCGACCATGTCATTCATGCAATGAATGTAATGATTTGCAATTTCCTGGTATAACTTTAATTTATCAACACTTTGCTTATGTTCAATTATGGCTTCTGCTGTCGCTAAATGCATTACTGTATCATCACTAACCATCCATTCTTTCGTATTAACTTTCAGTTTCGAAAGACCTCCAATACGCTTTAGCTCGTCGTGAATAATATTCCCATCCGTACAAAATTCCCAATTGCCTCTTCCGTACCCTAATGCATCTCCAACTCCGCTAAGAATCATCCCGGCGGTATATTTTTCTTCTTCCATATTTGCTAATTGCACAGCCATTTTCTTTGGTATAAGATTTTTTAGTTCGTGTTCTCTCTAATAGTCGTTGACGTTAAATAGCGTCGTTTCATATGTCATATTCTCAACTTTTAGGAAGTCAAAAACAAGCGGAAGTAAATTATATCTTAAACTTTGAACTACTTAAAGTAGTCTAGATTAAACGAGGTTATTGACAAAGAAATGTTATGTCAACACAACTTATATACTGATCAGGTGCAAGTACAGTGTAATATAAAAATTCGGTCGATGCGTTATCGATATCTGTAACTGATATATCATTTATGATTTTTGAATGATATTTTAAATATTCAGTTTACTTCGTTTCCTATAGTATCACGGGGCTTATATACGAAATCAGGTTTAAATTATAGTACAAAAAGTAGTATATTTACTTTGCCAGATAATGTCAATAATTTTTTTTTTTTACGTCGCATCGAAGATAATTTGAATTAAGTGATCATTTACTTGAATACACATAAATTGTTTGGCTTTTAACCAAAACAATCTTTAGTTACACCTCATTATTAACGGTTTTGATAACAAAATATGATAAAGATCGAATTGTGCTCTGAATATTATATGGTTATAATGATAACACATAATAAAATAAAACAAACAATATTAATTACAATTGTTTAAGTACAACGTAATTTATTTATTCAATTATACATATTCAAATATATGATGTAAACTCATAATGAGATATTTTTTTACTTGATGAAAAAGTCGCCAAAATTGAGTATCAGAAGAAACCGTAGCATACTAATCATGTTTGCACTCATATTTTGTACTAAAGATATTTCAGTCATTGATAATCGGGTAAATTAGTTCTGCATTGTGACTTGACATCGATATATGCACACAAACAAATCGGTATCGTCCTTTAAGAGGTTCATACACGACACTTCAGTGGAAGTCGGTCCGCTAAATTACTAATGGAGCAAGTGGTTTAATAGACCTTTTCACATTACGTTTTTTCCATAGTAACGAATGATGCATTTCGCGCATACGCATTCTGCGTAGGGCAAAAGCGCATTAACGATGTATACAATTTATCATAGTTTAAAGCTTTAATAGACGCGATTTCAAATTATGCACCAGAAAACGGAAAATTTGGGATGACTTAAAGCATAAAGTACTTAAAACGAGAATTGTATCTATAACAGATATACGAAACTATGAGCAACTAATAATTCAAAGAAACAGCTCATGTACAAAAGTCAGCTTTTTAAAATATTATAAGACGACTTTTCCTTCAGAAATTTAAACTGAAACAGCAGGGTGTTAAAGGATTAATTTTATTACACCTGTATTACATAATATTACAATATTTGTATGGTACACTTCTATCGGCAAGGCGGTAAGTGTCAAACAGATTAATTGACTCATGACCGGTTGTTATTTTTAGCTAGTCTACAAATCATTCAACCGGGACGTTTAAGTACCATGACATTGTTAATCATGTAAAATTATGAGAATCGTAATATAAGAAACTTTTACATGTACCAATCTCATCAATGTTTATTGATTTTGTGAAGTGACAAATAGTGTGACGTGCATTTACGCGTGTTATGAGGAATCGGATAATAAAAAGTGTGTAATTTCACTACCCATCTTAATTTTCCAATATTTTGAGAAAAAAAATCTAAATATATTTATGTGACTTAAACATTTTTGTACTTGTCATCAATCGGATAAAGGACAAAATCAGGTAAAATGAGAACTAAAAATGCATTATCACGTGTTCTGACATTTTTCGGAATTGCTAATTAACCTCGATTTTATATATTATTAAATATTCTTTAATTTTTATATGAACTATTCAACAACAGTTAAGTTGACCACTTTATTTGCTAATGAATATATTTCCACAATTTTTTAAACAATGTCAGTTCCGTGATCGTAAGAGGGAATTCTTAAACAATCGTCTTTTCCTTGCATTTTTAAGGCAAACTTGGTCACAAAGCTATAAAGGCATCTTTTATGTTTTTGTTAAAAGCTATTTCATATAGTTTTATGACTTTTACCTTAAACTTATACGGAATCGTCTATGTACTTCTATAATTTTTCTATTTAGGGCAATTCTCTTTTTGCCCTATTTCAGAACGATTTTTCATGGCAACGGACGGCAACGTAAAAAGGTCTATAAACTTATAATGATACATGAGAAACAACTTCTTTATCAGACTAAAGAATGGTCAGTTAGAATAATTAGCATTACAAAATTTCATTTTGACAGATTCATTTCAGGACAAGCTGCATGTATAAAATGTAATATTTTCCTCAGTCATTATTCATTTAGTGAGTTGTTCATATTAACCTCTAATTATGTACCACCTAGAAGTTTTATGTAAATATGTCATTTGTTAGAATTATCTTTAACTGAAAATGTTTTTTTTTAATGTTCAGCCAGATTTGAAGTATAAAATTGTCACAAGTTTAGTTTAAAACTCGACCCAAGATTTGAATAACAGGCCTCAAAATTCTAATGTCTACTGGGACACTGCTTCCCACAAATGATATTGAAAAAATACACACACCTTCATTTTAATGTTACTTTAATAACTAAGAAAATTACAAACTTGTACGATCTTGTTCACTACATCACATAATTATATACATGTACATATAGAAAGTACAAAACATATAGTCCATAAAGTCATCAGACCGTATAGTCATTTTTTCTGAAAGGTCATAACTTCCATAACAAAAAAAACAAAAGCTTCTGTACTCGTAACAGCGAGTTGCACATATTCAAATGTTAATATACATGACAATAAAATTAAGATGTATTATATGAAAACGTCCTTACATTCCTTTTCCCTCGTACAAATATTTCATTATATTCATGTACATAGTTTTTACTAAATAAGATACTAAATTGAATCTGTCTTTTAACTACCTATAATATTTGCAGTTATCTGATTCGTTCATTTGAAATGTGTTTTTTTCAAGGGCAGCTTACTTACGATGAAGGTTAGAAAGGACATATTGTTAATGCTTTCATAAAGCTAACTGTGGTCTAGTTACTGTGCAAAATTTTCAAAAATTGGAGATATTCTACTTAAAACGTTGCAAACTTTTCTAAAAATCTGATGACAAATAGTAAAAATAAGGCTAGTAAGACTTTCGTGTACAGGCTCAATTATCTTTGCTTGAATTGACCTGGACAAGAAAACCAATTCAAGGGCAATCGTATGGCTATATGTAACCCTATCATACTGATGATATAGTTATGTAATACTTGCTAAAGCCTTATCATAATATATTCTAATCAATAGAAATATGAAGTAAAAAAGAAAATGCTCTGGGATTGACTAATAACTATGATTAATATTGATATATATCAACACTATATGTTCAATGACTCATTATTTCGATATAACTATTTTGTTGTCTGAAATGATAATGCGTTATATTGCAATTAAAATTTTAACACCGGTATTTAATCTATATAAACTGAGATTAATACCGTTATCACAAATGTACATGCAAGTGAAAGTATGAAAAATATGCATTATAAAAGAAAACTTCTTAACCTCTTCTTCTGATTTATAAAAAAAACAGTGGACAATCTTAAATATTTTAGACCGCCTTTATATTTTACATTCAACATATTTCGAAACAAATAATTGTTAAGTCACCGTAATACTAGCTAATCTTTTGATATATATAAATATAACACTGGGATAGTGCGTCTATTAAGGACGGCTTAGAATTATTCTTGGAATAATTAATCCACAAACTTAAAAGACTGTTGAATCACAATTAATTAATATAGTTCTTTGTCAAAGATACAGCGAGCGAATGTGTAATCAGTAAATATATAATACAATGATACAAATTTCAATTTATAGACACTCATGAAATACAACATCATTGCAAATATGGAAGATAACTGAGAACTAACATCTTAGATAAAGAATAATGGAAATTGCATTTTACTGATGTAAAACAAGAATTGACTTTATAATAGGGTTAAGAATTATTTTTGTAGAGAACTCGCTAATGCTGTGAAAGGTAGATAAACCTATTCATACTTATGAACATACAATGATGTTTTACTCACATTGTTTATTGAATTATCAAACACTTATATACAGTAACATAATGCAAGATGTAAACCATTATCTATTCATACATATAACTCATTTTAAGCAATTATATCATATATCTCATTTATATTTTCAACTACTAGAGGTATATAATTATATCAAATTTTTGTCATAAAACGATTAACAATAATTAAATTATTTTATTAGAATGATAGCAGAAATCTTTACACCATACTTAAACTAAAAAAATATGTTTTGTACTTGACATTTAAAAATACATTGAATAACAATAGAAAAAATAAACAATGAGAAACTCAACATACCTGGAATAATAAATCCACAAACTTAAAAGACTGTTGAATCACAATTTATTAATATAGTTCTTTGTCAAAGTTACAGTGAGCGAATGTAACTTTGACTGCAAGTACAGTCCTTTTTATGGAAGGCTTCCAGGAGAGTTACTAAAAAATGTGTTATTAATAATCTGCTAAGCAAAGCCAATGGGGCTTAATTTGATTTCTGAGCAACAAAGTCTTTGAAGTTAGAGGAAATGTCAAAGGTGCTAAAAGCTGAAGTCTGACTAGCTATCAGTAGCAAACAAACAACTTGGCTTCAATGTGTGAAAAATCTTTTAGCATGTTTTCTTCAACAAAGATGGTTAACGATGTTTGTTTTGCTAAGCCGAAATACTTTGATTAAAATAAATGCAAAATATGTGTAAAATGTTATCTAATTTAGAGTTGAAATAAAAAACGCAAGACAAAGAAATATTACATTAAAACTTATACAAAAATACAAGAACATATGAAAAAGAAATATGCATTAAATTTTATCATAATTTTCTGCATTATAGAAATATAACCAATTCAATTCAACTTAACAGCAGGAAATGGGAATTTATTTTCAACAAAATGAACTTAAAACAAGTAAATTGTTATTCTATAATTATTGATCGGTCAAGGACAAAACACAATGCTGAACAAGTCTTCTCCAGCTCTTTCCAATCTTTCACGATACTCTAAGTGTTGAAAGTTCCTTTTTG